TCCGGCACACCTATGGCATATATGGTAAAGAATTTTAGGCTTAACTTGGCTCAGTATTTAGAAAAATGGCATGATTTAACAAAAGAAAAGGATTTGTTACAATGGCCTAAATGGGGGACTTTTGAACTGACCAGATTAGTCTTTTTAAGACATAAGTTAGTAGTAAAAGGATTTAAAATAATCAAAATCAGTTGGAAATATTTTTTAATTGGTATTTTAAATCCTTGAGAAGACAGCAAAGGAATACTTTTGCTACAGCTCAGAAAACAGTGCTAAGCAATCAAAACTGATCTTGGCATTGCAGAAAGGTCAGATAGTGCTATTTGATTCTTTAATGAATAGACTCCCATGGGTATTAAAGGGGACAGAAAAAACTCAGAGGAAGAAAATAGGAAAAAGGAAAAACCTGCTTCTTTGTATCTTGATTTGACTTCTAGTTCTCTTTCAGCCAAATTACCTTTTGTTTCTGGCAATTCACCGGAAACTGAGTCTTGTCCTCTGTTAATGACTTTGGTTGTTAAACCAAATCCGTTGCCATTAATCTGATTCCAACTCATGGTGACCCTATAGGACAGAGGAGAACTACGTCATAGGGTTTCCAAGGAGTGGCTGGTGGATTTGAACTGCTGACCTTTTGGTTAGCAGCCAAACTCTTAACTTTGGTAGACAGGCTACATTAGCAGGTGGGCCAGTGGAAGCAACAGTAAACCCCTGGTCTAAATGCTAATTAGGGGCAATTGTAAAAGATTTTCCTGACCCTCATGAAAATCCACAGAAATTTTTACATGAATTTACCATTTTGACTAGCATCTATGAGCCAGGTCCTTTGGATTTATATAATTTATTACATATGCTACTGAAAAAAACAAAAAGAAGCAAGCAAACAAAACAGCTAGATGTATGGCTGAAGCCAAGTGGAAGGACCCAGAAGCTAGTTAAAAAAACTAGAGTTACAGGAAAAGAATTAACAGATGAAGTTCAGGATTTAGTTTAAAAATTAACAAATGCATTTTAAAGAATATTTCCAAAAAGGTTGACTGGACAAGAATTCAGCCTTGTAGACAAGAAAAAGGAGAAAACACATATACTTTCATGGGTCGTTTTTCCAAACTGTTTGAAGAAAATTCAGGTTTAACAGCAGTTACAAAAGAACACTGGTCTGTGTTTTATTCTTTTTTTTGGAGCGGGGGGGGATTGTTCCCTGAACTAGCAGTTTTAGAGAAAAGGCATAATTTGAATAGGGAAAATGTGACTCCTTCAGAATTGGCTACAGGTGGTTACAAATTAGCTCAAACTCAGGAAGAAAAGAATAGGGAAATTCAGTTGAAGGCTAAAGAGCAAAAAATATATATTAATGTGTTTACAGTCACAGCAGCTGCACAGTAGGGGCAGTAATGACAGGGGTCTGGCCAAAGGACAACCTCAACCAAACACATCCAAAAACAAGCCCATTTGCAACTAGTGTAAGAAGCCTGGTTACTTTAAGAGAGACTGTTTAAAATTTAAGAATAAACAAAGAGTTACTCCTTCAGGGCTGCTGTTACCACCACAGTGACTGTGCTGTGAGGATTTAGGGGTTTTCACCATGGCTCTCCTTAACAGTCAGGGAGAGACAATGCTTCAGGCAAATGGGCAGCCCTGTACCTTCCTGACTTACACAGGTTCTACCATGTTGGCAATGAATCCTCCATGTTTATGAAACTCCTCCCTCAGAGTAACAAAATTTCTAAAATCATGGGAGTTTGAAATGAAGAACAAATTTTGCCTCATTCAGACCCAGTATCAATATCTTTAGGATCCACCGACAATTTACATCCATTTCTTCTCAGCAATGATACCCCTGTTTTCTATTAGGGCGGTATTTATTATCCAAATGGTGAGGCCATAAACAGTTTACTGACAGTGGAGAAAGTCTACTAAACTTTCCTCCATTACATGATTCAATTACCGAGAGAAAGATAGAAGACACATTATGCTTTACTCAAGGATTAATGGAAGTAGAAGAAATTATAGAACAGGTTCAGGGAGGAGAGAAGGAACGACAGCAAGTACCCACTGAACTTTGGGCAAAGACAACCACAGATGTAGGAAAAGTCTTGTCAGCCAAACCTATTCAGGTGCAAATAAATACTTCTAAAACATTGCCTAGAATAGCTCAATATCCATAAAAGCCTGAAGCTATAGCAGAGTTAGGACCTATTATCCAAGATTTTCTTCAGCAAGGTCTAATTATACCATGACCAGTCCTTGTAATACTCCTATTTTTCTGGCAAAAACATAACAAAACAAAACAAATAATAGAGGGTGGAGATTTGTACAAGATTTAAGAGCCATAAGTAAGATTACAACATCTAGATTCCCCATAGTTCCCAATCCTCATTTACTCTTAGCCCAGGTACCAAGCAATGCTGTGTGCTTCAGAGATTTAGATATTGTTATTTGTTGTATTCTTTATAGCTTTGTTAATCTACATTAAGTTTGATTTAAAATGGTAGTTTATTTAGTTATTATTTTAGTTGTTAGTGGAATAGATACTTGGAATGAAAATGCTTTTGTCTGATTATCACAATCTGAAGTGAGTGCTGGTAATTCGACACAGTGTTGGATTTGTATTTATATAGAATGATGACTAGGAAGACTATCTGTGATAATTCTCTAATGGAAACTTGGCTGTCACATGTAAATTTTTCTATGCCTTCTGTATCTTCTAGACAAACTTTATCTGCTCCTTATGGATATATGTTTTTTTGTGGTGTATCCAACTAGCTTAGATGATCTGTTTCCAACTGACAGTGAATTTACACGGACAATCTCTTATTTAGATTCCTAGCAAATGCGTGGGCAACGCACTTTGGGAACTTTAAGATTACCTTTAGATATTCATAGTAATGATGCTACTAAATATTGGAAACCAAACGAAAATCAAACCCATTGCCGTGGAGTAGATTCCGACTCATAGCGACCCTATAGGACAGAGAAACACTGCCCCATAGGGTGTCCAAGGAGCAGCTGGTGAATGAACTGCCAACCTTTTGGTTAGCAGCCAAGCTCTTAACCACTGCACCACCAGGGCTCCAAATAATGGAAAGGTAATGTTAAATTGTTACACAGTTTAAAATGAGATTCTGAAGAACCCACTGGTCCAATGCTCAGGGTGGAGTTGGTCATTTCTAAGACCCTTAACTCCTACTTATGGTAAAGTTGAACTGGAGAAATCATTAAGGAATTATCAATCACTCTGGGACAAAAAGCAGACAAAGTTGCTAATAGAATGGAAACATAACAGCAATCTCTGACCTCATTAGCCAGGGTGGCATTAGATAACAGAATAACCTTAGATTTTTTATTAGCCCAAGAAAATGGAGCTTGTGCTGTAGCAAATACTTCTTGTTGCATTTGGATAAACAACACAGGAGAAGTAGAACGAGATATACATAGAACTAGACAGCAAGCTACTTGGTTATACACTATAATACCCCTACAAACATCAGATTTATTTGGTTGGTTACCATCAGGAATAAGTACATGGGCTAGATCACTATTGCAATTGCAAGGAATAGTAATATTCTTAGTATGCATCCTGATAGTATTTGGCATAATAAAACCTATCCTCTATTGTCTTACACGCTTAAAAGGCAAAAGAAAAGCTCAGGTTATAATGGTGATGTACATCGATTCTGCTCATTTCTGCAATACAACTGATGGAAACGTCACTCTTTATTTAAGATCCTGGTGAAAAACCAGATGGTATCCATTGGAAAACCAGCACCATGAGTTTAAAGTGCCTGCCATGGCTGCCATCTAGGAGCCGGATTGAGTCCAGGTTTTGATCATGGATGTGTTATCTCCAATCTCTGATCAAAAGGTGGGAGAGATAGGAGTTAAAATTGGAGCCATTTTTCCCTGTCCTTGAGTATAAAGAATGTGACCCAGTTGGAGCGACAAAGACTCACCAGGACACATCAACTGGGCCCTGAAGTATAAAAACAATAGCTAGGAAAATCTTGGAAAACATCTTTGGGAAAGCTTTCACATAAACAAATACTTAGAATACAAAAGGCCCACGTTTTCCACTCTTATCTTTCTCTATTAGCATTTAGTAAATAATGAGATTTGCTGGATCAATGATGACCCTTCCTGACTGTTGTTACTGAAATGTGTACCAATGATTATTAAGAAAGACAATTCAAAATGTAGAATCATGGTGATTTAGCACTTTTTAGCCAATCTGTGAAAAGGTGAAGCTTTTAATGATTTTACCCATACGTAATGTCTATATACAAGGATAATTCTGTAACATTCCTCTGACTCAGGCAGACATAGCTCTGGCAGCATGCTTGTTCATCTCCCACTTTGGCCTCTTGGAACATAAGCTGAATAAAATCTTTCTTTCATGTTTTACTGTAACTTTGTGGTGACTTTACCCTAGGACACTTTGGTTCTCTCCTTATTCCTTCCTCTCTTTTCTATAGTAAGCATATACTACTTCTGTAATCCCCCAAAATAAATCAATGAATCATTGTTTTAAAAACAAAAGTGGAATGCCTGAACAACAAGGACACCTTCTGACAGGCATCTAGGGGCAGGAAGTGGCTTCTTAAGACAGCTGAGAAATATAAGGTGAGTAGCGATAAGGACACTGGCTAACATCAGTAAACCAGATCCTGGACTGGAGATCTCTCCTACGCTGTAGGGTTGAGTCTCTTGGCAGCTAGAGCCCTCAGTTCGTGGCAGCTAGAGCCCTCAGTTCGTGTCCCCTACAGACAGAGCCATCCTTTCTCCCGCCCTCTCTTGGTTTCTACCTGGAAACCCGCGGGGCTGGCCGAGAACGGCCTGGCACCCTCGGCCGGGGACCCCACCTCTGCTGCCCACAGCTCACCTGCCCTTTCTCTGAACTCCACCCGGAAAGTGTCCGGGGCGTTGTCGCCCAGGGGACACACAGTGCACTTCCCGCCGCCCGAGCGCCAAGTAGCTCGGACTCAGACACCCGTAGGAGGAGCGGGGACGGTGGGCAGGGCGCCCAGGCCATGGCTCTGCGGGCGGCCTGCGCTGGTGGGGCCGGACTGAGGCGACGGCGTGTCCCGCCCCGCGGACTTGGGGCTGAAAGTTTTAGTTTCGTTTCCCGGAGACCCTTTCTTGTTCCCAGAAGGGCCTTTTCTCCCTCCTCTTTTTGTTGACTGTGGCCTTCAGCCAGGTGAGTAGGTCCCCCTGGGTCGATGGGAGCTGGAAGGAGCCGGTTTCTTGGGGCCGGGGGTTGGGGGGTAGGGTGGTAGGCGAGAACCGGGGTCTCAGGGCCAGATCTCCCCACGCCAGGATGTAAACTGGTCAGATGCCGAAGTCGAAGAAAGTTAAGTTTCTCCTGTGTTTGTAATTCTTTTAAATTTTGTTGCTCTTATTACTATTGTTTGCTGCTAAAATATAATTCACATTCTGAATTCAGGTTAAAACAAGTACCTAGATTTTTTTCTTAAAATTAAATATGTTCACATGCTTTATGACATCCTCCAGCTGACTCTTGGGGCTTTTCTGTCCTCCTGTCTTCCTTTGGGCAACAGGACTGAACTGCTTGCTGCTGTGTGTACTAGGGATAAGGATGAGAGAGGAGGCCCTGACCTCAAGGGCCTGCAAAGGGAGGCCGACTTCTGAATAAAGAATTAGAATCTCTGGGAGACCTCCAAGAGGAAGCTTCAAGCAGAATCTTCATAAGAGAGTTGGGGGTGAGGTAGGGAGGGTGAGGGGTGTGGAGCAGGCAGGGGGCACCTGAGGCATAAGGGCCACTGTGGTCTGAGGCACAGAGGGAGCACTGAGGGCTGGGAGCAGATGAGATGGGACAGGGAGGAAGGATCTAGATGAGCACAGCCCAAAAGAAATATAACTGGAGCCGCAAATGCCAACCGCATATGTAATTTAAAATGTCTTACTAGCTATATTTTAAAAGGTATCAAGAAAAAGGTGAAAATAATTTTAATTACGTGTTATTTAACTCAGTACATCCAAAATGTAATCATTTCCACATGTAATCAGTGTTAAAAACTTATCAGTGAAATATTTTCCCTTCTGTTTGTCATCCTAAGTCTGTGCAATCCAGTGTGAATCGGACACATCACATCTCAGTTCAAATCAGCCACATTCCAATGCTCAGTAGCTACATGTGCCTAGTGGCCCACACTGGACAGCACAGGTGGAGATGGGGAAAGGTCTTAAAGATCAGTGGGGAGAAATCGAAGGGTTTTGAGCAGGGGAGGCAAGAGCATGGCATTCCACAATTGCATTTTAGGAGAGTGACAGGCCAGCTTTGCATCTTAGAAAGATGATATTGACAAGAATGTGGAGCACACATTTCTAAGCAGGGATGAATGAGACAGAGAGGCCAGAGATAAGGTTTTCGCATATGGCTGTAAGACTGGTCAATCTTTATGGAGGGCAGTTTGGCAATACTCTCAAAATTACGGAGCCCTGGTGGCACAGTGGTTAAGAGCTCAGCTGCTAACCAAAACGTCAGCAGTTCGAATCTACCAGCCACTCCTTGGAAACCCTATGGGGGCAGTTCTACTCCGTGCTAAAGGGTCGCTATGAGTCGGAATCGACTCGATGGCAATGGGTTTGGTTTTTGGTCTAGTTTATCAGAATTATAATTGCATATACCGTTACTTTATGATCCTGCTGTCCCATTTTTAGGAATTTGCCCCATCAATTTGTAAGTACCTGCCTGAAGTTACCTATGTATGAAGTTATACTTTACAGCTTTGTTTGTAAAAGCTAAAAAATGGGAACCCCTTCTCTGATTGTTAAGGTCGTGTGTCAACTCAGGTGGGCCATGATCGTCAGTGGTTTGGCAGTTTGATGTCCTTCGGCTTTTTAATGATGTGACCATCTTCATAATGAGATCTGATATGATATGATCACTTCCTTGATGAGATCTGTTATGAACAGTCAATCAGTGGAAAGGGAGTTTCCTTGGAGGTGTGGCTTGCATCCAATATTTGTGAACTTTCTGACAAGGCTCACTGACTTTTGCTCACTCTGAATCCTGCAGCTGGTTCCTCTTCATCTGACCTCTGGTTCTTGGGACTTGAGCTAGTAGCTTACCTGCCATCTTACTTGCTTTTCTTGGGATTCTTTGGCCTCCACAGCTTGTGAGCCAGAGGCCTACTATCTGACTTTCTGATTTTGGATTCACCAGCACCTGCAGCTACATGAGTCAGGAGATGCCTCCAGCCTGACCCATGAATTTGGGACTTTCCAGCCTCTACAATCACGTGATCCACTTCCTTTATATAAATCTATATATACATATATATATATATACATATATATATATATATATATATGCTGTGCTGGTTTTTCTTCTCTAGAGAACCCAACCTAAGACAACCTCAGTGTCCGTAAATAGTGAACTAACAGTTAAATAACTTAGAGCTTATCTATACAATGGAATACGATGAGCAGTAGGAAGAATGAGGAAGCTTAATTGGACTGGACTGTGGGACATAAAGTGATACTCCTAAGGAGTGTGCCTCTTAGCTCAAGTAGATACAACAGACTAAACGGGCAGCGTCTGTCCGGAGGTGAGATGGGACGGCAGAGAGGGTTAGGAGCTGGTTGAATGGACATGGGGAATCAGGGGTGGAAGGGAGGAGTGTGCTGTCACAGTATGGGGAGAGCAATTAGAGTCACATAACAATATATGTATAAATTTTTGTATGGGAAAAAATAAAAAAAAGAATGAGGAAGCTTGCTATGTGCTAATATAGAAAGATCTCTAGGATACATTAAGGGGGAAAGGCAAGATGCTGAAGAGTGTGTATACAATGCTACCTTTTGTGTAAAAATACCTCTGGAAGGATACAGAAGAAACTGGTAACATTGGTTGTCTTCAGTAAGAGGAATTTGGTGAGGCGATTGGGAGTAGGGTTAGAGGGAACCATTTTCAGTTTTTGAATGTCATACTATTCAAACAACAAATGTCATACTTTACAAATGATGATTCATTGAAATCTTTCTGAATAATGTACTGCCATAGCCCAGGCAAGAGGCCCTGAGGCCCTGAGGGAGGCAGCCTCATGAGCCAGGTGGGTAGGGGCGTATTTGAAAGTGACTTAAATGGTCAGGACTAGTTGCACATGGGAGAAAAGAGACGATTCAAAGACAATTTCCAGGTTGCTCTCTTGAGTGGGTAAATGATGTATTATTTACTGAACAGTGGAATCCAGGGGATAGAGCATGGATTTTTTTTTTTTTTTTTTTTTTGTGGTGGGGTGGATGAGGACAGGGGAATGATGGATTCAGTTTTGTATAAGCTGAGTTTGAGGGGTCTCTGTGGCATCCAGGTGGTGTTGAAATGTGAGGCTTAGGAGAGCCATTGCCTAAAGATACACATATGGGAATTATGTTTACATTTGGAAAGTTGAAGTCATGGGAGTGAATGAGATCACCTCTGGAGAGTATGTATAATGAGATGAGAAATGACCATCAGACAGAATCCCAGGGCAAAAGAACCCAGGAAAAGGGTCTATGAATGCAAAATGCCAAGTTGCAGGAGAGCCAAGGAAGGATGGCATAGCAGAAGCCAAGAAAGCAGAGTTTCAGGAATCAAGGAGTGAAATACAGGGGGCAAATAAAGATTAGAATACAAGATGGTCCATTGAGGTTAACCACCTGGAGGTCACTGATGAGCCCTTTCAGAAGGATGTGGGGGTGAGGTGGGGAGCCAGACTATAGTGGGCAAAGTGGGCAGGGGGACAGGAGGAGAGTCACCTACTCTTTAGAAATTTGGCTGCCTGTAAAGAGAAGGAAACAGTGTAGGAAGCAGTGATGGAAAGTTGGGAGGGCTTTTGCAGTTACTGTTTTTTGTACAGTGGAAGAGATAGAATGTTTTGGGCTATATGCCTCTTGTTTCTAATTTCTTTGGTTTAAATGGATGCCACTACCACTGCCCAGTGTATTCCTGGGCTTTTGAGCCTGATCGGAGGATAAAAACGAGTTAAGTGCAACTACATGTAAAGCCAAATCCACCAGGAGCCCACAGCCAAAGCAGACACAGAAGTCTTCCTTCTTTGGTGAAAACAGCAGTGCCCTCTGGAGGCAAATATGCCTCTGGTCCTTACATTTTAGGATGATGGTAGACCTGATGCTTTTCCTCAACAGGTAAGAATAATAGTGCTATAATGCTGTAGGTAGTTTTACAAAACATTTCTATTGCAAAACCAGAAATCATTTCAGGACTAAAGATAGCAATGTGTGTGGACAACTCTGTCTTTAAGCATCTTCATCATCATTCTTCTAAAACTTCACAGTCTTTAATTCCTACCTATTGAATGGAAAATCAATAAAATATAAGTTTTCTGGAGTTACTGATTTTTATCCAGGTATTCACCTTTATAGTTAGATCAAGGGGACTTATCACAAACTCTATAATACACATACCTCACAGGTGCATGTCCAGTTTCCTCTTTCTTCAAATACTTTCCGATGGTCTTCATTCACTCATGAGCCTGGTTCCTCACTATTCTTAGAGCACTGAGCTCAGTCTCTCCACTCTGTATTATCATCCTCTACTAAATATGTAAAAGTCTGTTCCAACTTTCAAAGCCTGGCTCTAGTCTCACCTTCTCCATGAAGCTTTCCCTGCTCCAGCCCGTAAACTCTTTCCCTTTGCTGAGCTGTCATATGGTTTCAACTGGAACCTCTCATGTAGAAGATAGAGGGTAAACAGTAGTAATAGCAGAAAAACAATGTGTAAATCTTCACCAATGAAACTGAAAACTACTAGAGATCAGAAATCATATGTGTCAAATTGGCTGGGCCATGATTCTCAGTGGTTTGGCAGTTATGATGTAGTTTAGCAGTTGTATGATGATGTGATCGTTTCCATCATGAGATTTGATGTAATGTGATCACCTCCGTGATGGGATTTGCTGTGAGTAGCCAGTCAGTTGAAAGGTAGTTTCCTTGGGTGTAGTGCCTACATCCAATATAGGTGGACTTTCTGGCAAGGCTCTCACGGGCTTTTGCTTGCTCTGGATCCTGCAGCTGGCTCTTGTTCATCTGACCTCCGTTTCTTGGGACTTGAGCTAGCAGCTTACCTGCCATCTTGCATACTGATCTTGGGATTCGTTGGTCTTCACAGCCTGTAAGCAAGAGCCCTGCTGTCTGACCTGCCGATCTTGGTTTCGCCAGCCCCTGTGGCTATGT